GACATAAATATTAATAAAAAAATAATTTAGAAAAACCACCTCTTTTAATATACTTAAAATATAGATATATTTTTAAAAAAAATTATTTAGAAAAAGAAAAACCACCTCTTTTAATATTCTTAAAATATAAATATATTTATTAAAAAAATATTTAGAAAAAGCCACCTCTAATAATAAACTTAAAATATAGATATATTTATAAAAATAATATAAAAAAAACTATAGAAGATTTGACCTAAAAGATTATTTATTTATGATATAATTAAAAAAAGAATAAAATTTTATGATAAAACAAAAGAATAAAATTTCTTCAAAAAATCAGCAAAATATGTTTCAAAAATATTTTTGTACTTCAAAAAATATTTTTTGCTTAAAATTTTTAGCTCAAAAATATTAATTTTTTTTTATTTAAAAAAAAATCAAATAAATAAATCCATTTTTATTATAATCAAATCAAAACATATTATTTGCATTAAATAAAATATAAATAAAATAAATTATTTTACTAAAAATAAATAAATAAAATTCTACATTATTATTTAAAATTTCTCAATAACATAAAAATAATTTTTGGCTCTTAATTTAAAATAAACTCAAGCTACCCTCTGAGCCCACTAAGTGAGCCGACTAAGCGAGCCGACTAAGCGAGCCGACTAAGCGAGCCGACTAAGCGAGCCGACTAAGCGAGCCGACTAAGCGAGCCGACTAAGCGAGCCGACTAAGTGAGCCGACTCATGCGGCTCCTTGATCGGCTTGAGTCGGAGCCGTTTTTTACGACTACGACTCGAGTCGCAAGTCGTAAGAACTCGACTTTTTAACAACACTATTCCATACTTATATCTAATACACCCTCAAATATTCAACCAAATAAAGTCCACTGCCTATATTTAATTGCCAAAAAAACTTATCACATGACTCAATCAAGAAAATACTTCTTTCAATCAGTTTTTAGTTAATTTATCTACTTGATTAATATTATTATAAAAATAAATTTATTTTTAAACATTCCTCAACCATTAACCCCCAATTATTTATTAGAAAATCTAATTTATTTTATACATATTAATTGCATATATCAAAATCATTTATTTTTTTATATATATTTGTTAATTTTTCTTATAAAATTAGTTTTTATAATTTTATCAAATTCACTTGATGTTTCAAAAAAAATCTTACTATCCACTTATTGTTCATTTATGGAATCCTTATTATTAAATATAATAATATTTTATGATTCATATCTTATTAATAAATAAAAATGATGCATCGTTATTTATTGTAGTTGCTGGTACTTTTAATTTTAGTTAAGTAATTTATACCTTAAAATAATAATCAAAATTTATATAAAAAAAGAGATCTGTATAGATATAATTAAATAAAATCTACAAATTTTGTTTTACTAATAAGAGAAATCAGTGTTAATTTTTTTCTTACTTTTTTAACTTATTTTTATTTTGTATTATTAATTTTATTATAAAGGATGAACCAAAGATATACTCTAAAAGTAGATGAAGATCAATTAATTACGTTAAGAAAATAAGATTTTATAAAAAAATATCCTGTCAATTAAAAATTATTTTGGATTATGTGTTCTAGATGAAATAAGTTAAACCATCTTAAAAGATGGGTTGAGAGCTCATCTCACTTAATTTTTATTGTAATAATCATTTATAATTTTTTTTGTTTTAATTATTTCATCTTAATTATAAATTGTAATAAATTAATAAATGATTATTTATGTATATTGTATATTAAAAACAGAATCGAACATTCGAAAAATAATAAATAAAAATTTGATATCAAAAATAAATTAAAATATAAATCAGTGGTCGTATTGTTTATAATTAGTAGTTGGTATTACTACAAATGGCGACGATAAATGGAGAAAATAATTCCTTAAATGGAGATAATAATTCCTTAAATGGAGAAAATAATTCCTTAAATGGAGATTCAAAAAAAATAGCGGATTTATCTACGATTAAATTTGATAAATTCGAGTTGGATACTTCTATCCACAGATATTTTTCTCAATGGGAAGCCAGTTTTCGGTTAAAAAACGTAAGCCCATCTGAATGTCAATATAAAGATATATTTTTAACATTTTTTGGCAATAAGAATATTGAGTTGGTGGACCGTTTTTGTTATCCTGATTCGATCGAAACTTTATCTTTTAAGGAAATTAAGTCAATATGTTTTAAACTATTTAAACCGACGTCAACAGCTTTTGCTTCTAGATTTGATTTCGTTAGATTACGGAGAACAACTGAAACCATAACTGAATTTGCAGATAAAATTAAAACAATTGGCAAGCGTTGTCATTATCTTAATGATATTTACGAGCGTTTACGTGATCAGTTTATGGTTGGCATGGAAATACCGGGATTGGAAAGAGATCTTAGAGCTCTATATCCCGACGGTCTTGATAGAGATAATAATGTACTGACTTTTCAATTTATTCTTGATCTGGCATTAGCTTCTGAGCGAGCAGATAAAGAAATGGCAAATAAAAATATGCCAGTTGTTAATAAGATAAATGTTAATAACAAAAGAAATGATAATGATAATGATAATAATTATAAACATCCAATAAAATCGACGACTACAATTGATAAAGGCTATAATAAAGTCAAGTATAATAATACATTTGATAAAGAGAATAATAAATACAAATATAATAATGATAAAGATTATAATAAACTTAAATGTTATAAATGTGGTTTTATTCATAACCGAGAAGTGAGATGTCCAGCTACAAATGCGGCATGTAATAAATGTAAAAAAATTGGTCATTTTGCAGTTTGCTGTAAATCAAAGAATTTAAATTATATAAGAGTGTCATCAAGTGATTCTATTCATAATATTTGGAAGATTCAACAAAATCGAGAGAATCGAGCAAAACTAACTGCAGAGATAAATGGGTTAGATCTTGAATTTGATTTTGACACTGGTGCACAAGCGTCATTGATAGGAATTGATATATGGACAAGTATTGGGCGACCAAAAATTAGGCCAACCAGTCCATTGACTGCATATGGTGATCATCCGTTAGACGTCAAGGGCGAGACCCAAGTCAATGTTAGGATTGGATCACAGACAAGGACTCTACCAGTGGTAATAATGAATACAACTGGGGTGCCTCTTTTCGGATTACCATGGATTATATTCAATTTAGAAATGCCTCGTCAGGTTATGATTAAACAAGTACGCAATTTGGTCAACAATATTGAAAAAGAAAAATGTTGCATAACACTAGATTCTAGAATTCGAGATTTGATTAATAAACACCAAGAAATTTCGGAAGAGAATCAAGATTCTAAACATGCTTTGGATATTCGAAGTATTAATTTGGATGATATGCAATTGTCAGAAAATATTCTACGAAAAGAGTCGAAGCAAGATTTAATATTAAAAAAAGTAGCCATACATATTCAGCAAAGTTGGCGAAACTTTGATCGTTATAAAGATAAAGAAATAGTTAATTTTTATAATCGACGGGAAGAGCTTTCTGTCGATCGTGATATTATAGAATGGAATGGGAGATTGGTTATTCCTAATAAATTAAGAAATGCAGTGTTAGGAATGATTCACCGGGGACATCCTGGGGAAAATGCAATGAAATCTATTTTTAGATTGTACTGCTGGTGGCCCAGATGTGATGTTGATATAGAAAATTTTATCAAAATATGTTCTGGATGCCAGAAAAATAGACCTAGTATTCAAGAAGTACCTCTATATTCTTGGACTGTTGGAAAGGAACCTTGGGAGCGAATCCATATTGATTTTGCTGGACCAGTAGATTCGCGATACTGGCTAATAGGTGTCGATTCCTATTCCAAATGGTTAGAAGTTGATCTAATGCAAAATACCTCTGCTGATGCTATGATAAAACGACTAAAAAAATGGTTTGCTAGGTTTGGAATACCCAAGTACATTGTGTCAGACAATGGACCACAATTCTTATCTGGGGAATTCCGTAGGTATTGTGATTTAAATAACATACGTCATATACGTTCAGCACCCTATCATCCAAAAACTAACGGATTAGCTGAACGTACAGTACGAACTTTGAAAGGTCGGTATTATGCAACGAGAGATTCAATTAGCGATCCCGAAGAAGCTATGACACAGGTTTTAACAACCTACCGATTGGGAGAGCATAGTTCCACAGGGAGATCTCCTGCTAAAATTATGTTTGGGAGGCAATTGAAAACAAGTCTGGATTGGATCCGACCAAATGCCGAACACGAAATAGTAAGGGCTAATGATAAACAAAGCCTTCATCATGATTTACATTCAAAGGAAAGAGAATTTGAAATCTCACAACCTATATGGTTAAATAATGAAAATATCAATGGTTGGAGAGAGGGAGTAATTAAAGAAAGAATAGGACTTTATTCTTATATTGTTGAATCTTCCGGGAAAACATTACGGAAGCATGCAGATCAGTTAAGAAATCGTTTAGTTATCCCAAATCATGAAAGTTCTTTGGAAGTTACAGAAATGGTTGTGCCAGTGAATGAAGCAAATACAAACACAAATACAAATACCACATCACGTTGCTCATCAAGAAACCGTAAACCTACAAAGAGGTTTATTGAAGAAATCTAACTTTAAATTGTTTGAAGGAAATGTAATAAATTAATAAATGATTATTTATGTATATTGTATATTAAAACAGAATCGAACATTCGAAAAATAATAAATAAAAATTTGATATCAAAAATAAATTAAAATATAAATCAGTGGTCGTATTGTTTATAATTAGTAGTTGGTATTACTACATAAATGACAAATGAAAACATCTTTTATTTTTTTTTCAATAAAAACATAGTGTAATAATAACATTTTTTGCATGGGTATAAATTATTATATAAATCATTTAAATAAGGTTTATACAATAAATATATAAAAATATAAATGTGTACACTTTAAAAAACAAAATGTATTTTTAACAATATGATGATTCACATTCATATTATCTTTGATTATAAACATTCATCCTTTTTGATTCTATCATCACCTATAAAAAATAAAATATATTTACATTAGCATAGATTATATATAATATCATAATTTTTATAATATGTCTTATATAAGGCCTGTTCTTTATACAATATAATTTTTAAAAAATAAAAGAAGATATAAATATTAATTTACATGACTTAATGATTATTAAATTGTATTGCTTTTGTAAGATTTTGCCTCATACCAGTTATCAATTCCTGGTTTCTCAAGTCAGCAAAATGGAAAAATCTAATATTTAAATATCTTTAAAAAAAATAGTAATAAAACTAATAAATGATTACCTTTGAACAATTAATTTTACAAGAATTTGAAAATGGCTGTAACCAATCTCATGTTCATTAATATGTTCAGTAAGATCAATAAAAATATTTGTACCAATTATTGTGGAAAAAACCAACACTTCCATTTTTTTAATAATATTTTTACGTTTAATATCATTTTGATAAGTTCTAAATGAACTTTCACAAATTCGGCATAATATAGACATACTAGATGAAGGAATCACTAACCCCCCCATTATACTATATTTATTAGGCATAAAATTTTTTCTATTTATAGCCTGTAACCATTTTTCCAATAATTCTTTGGATTTTAATGGAAATCTATATTTAAAAATAGGTGAATAATAATGAGTAAAATATAAGATATATTTATGACATTGATACAAAGATAGATAGTATATAAAAATCAATATAAATATCAGATCGGTTATTAGTAATATAGTATTGAATCAGTGAAAATTTGTTGATTGGCAGAGCCTCTATTAATATATATATGGTTTACATATTTCTTACAAATATTTAAAATGAAACTGTATCATAGTAAATATGTATTTTAAAATGGCTAACTTAATATTTTATCCAGAAAAATATTTAGGCAAAGTTCAAAATAGAAATCTTATCAACTCAATAGGAAGAAGCATTATTTGTCCTAGCAATAAAAATGAGAAAACTTTATATTTTTACTAAATAAGGATTTTTTTTCAATGTTTGTAGCTTATTAATGCTTTATGTAATAAATATGTTGCATATAAAAAATAATATATATACTTATGATAAGAAATATGTGTATTAGATTCTATTTTATATGTTTTATTACAATTATGAACACAGCACACTCCCATTATCTAATTAAATAATAAATGATAGTGATATTATAAGATCTGTTTTGCATGTATCCTAAGATGCATTAACATAAGATTTATAAGTCCATGCAGGATTAGGTTAAACTATATTTTAAAAAATTAAAAGGTGGGTTAGTCTTAGGTTCATTTTTTAAATATAATCACCTACTCCACCTTCATAAAAAAAAGTCAAATGAATGAATCGTCAATCTCTAGTTATATATATCATTGCTTTAAAAGGATGGACATGTGTGTTGGTTCATTTTTAGTCCATTTTTAATTAATGTTGATTTATGGTGAATATAATCCATTTTTAATTAGTGTGATATATTATGAATGTTTTTAATTTAGTGTTGATCAATGATCATTGGTTGATATATTATTAATGTGATTTATTGTGAATGTAATTCATTTTTATTTAGTGTTTATATATTATTAAGGTGATCTATTGCGAATGATGTGTTAATTTTTGTGATATAGTCATCATTTACAATTTATTCACTTTTAATAATTCAGTCACAATTTACATTTTATTCATCAATCGTAGTAATACAAGGAAAATAGCATTAGGATATGTGATGTCAATAATCTATTAGGAAGTTAAGCACATAATATGTAAATAGAATATTACAATAAATTACTCCTTTACTACATTAATGATATTTCATTTTGAATTAACTGTAAACTTTGAATTAATGTGGCATATTTTGAATGTGTGTTAATATTAGTTTAATTTGAATTAAACTTAAAAATTTTAATTTTAATTGATAAATATATATATATGATATATTTGAATTTAAAAAAATGTTATCATTGTTGAAACATATGATATGATTATTTATTGCAAATGCTAGAGGTGATGCATTTAAATAAATCTTATCATTATGATTAGTGTTAATGATAAGATATAAAATATGTGATTTTAAAGAAGTCTTATTATTTTGATGTGTTTGCAATGATAAGACATCAATTGATTTTACAATATTTACTGTCTAACCATTATGTAACAATATTCCTTTCCCTATCTTATTTTTTTTGAAAATTAAAATCTTATTTGATATTCCTTTAATTATGTTTAATTAAAAAAATTGTGTTTATTATATTTAATATAAATATTTTTCATTGTGATTATGCCACCAAAATCATTTTTATGTTTCCCACTGTCCAAAGGTTATGTTAAAAATTTACTGTCCATTATCTTATTTTTTTTTGATTTTTTCATGTGATTATGCCAAAAAATCATTTATTTTTTACGTTTCCTATTATTCAATGATTATGTTAAAATATTACTTTCCTTTATTATATTTTTATTTTATTTGAAACAAAATATCCACTTGATTATCGATATGTAATGAAATTGTATTTACACGTAATATATATTTTGATTTTTTAGTCTTTTATAATGAAATAGTCTAAAAAATTTTAACCCAAGCCCGCTTATAAAATTTAATTATGGACATTCTTTCAATTTTTTAAAAAAATATTTCAGCATTACACCTTACAAAAAGTTTTCAATTTAGGAAATAAATATAATAAAAAAAATAATCATTTTAAATTATGGACAATTTATTTGATCAAATAAAATATTTATGAAAAAAATATAAATATAAAATTGATATCAGAAGAAGCACTGTTGCAGGAATTGCCAATATTTTTCTTGCTAATCTTGATAGCTTTGACAAAATCTCTTTCTTGTCATTTCCACCAAAGTAGGATATCTGTTTAAAGTATATGCTCTTCATCAAGTGAGATCCGGATGTCCCGTATGCAATATATGTAAAACTCTTTTTTGAAGTGAGTACGGAATGATTAATCTGCCATTACAAAATAAAATACCATACTATTTTTGTAATCGTTTTCATGCTATTTGGAATAGTAACAGAACAAAAACTATACAGTTTTATAAATCAGACCTCGAGTTAATATTGGAAACAAATGCATCTAACCAAAGATTTGGAGCTGTACTCATGCAAAAATATGATAATGGTAACGAATTTCCATTAGCTTACACTTCAAGGATTTTACAAGACGCCAAAAAGAATTATTCTACAATAGACAAAGAAGAAAAAGCAATAATAAACGGCATAGAAATATTTCATAACTATTTGTATAGACCAAAATTTAAAATATGAACAGACCACAAACCTGGTAATAGCAGAGATTTAAGCTCATTAACAAACCAAAGATTATTACGTTGGGCTTATAAATTATCTGCATATTATTATGATATAATGTACAAGAATGGCGCCAAAAATATAATTGCAGATACTTTATCGCGAAACCCAACAGAGAAAATAATGAGAGAATAACAAGCGAAAATAAAACAGTAAAATATATAAGTCTTACTTATGACACATTAACTCTATCAAGAAAAGAATTTAGAGAGGAAACCGCAAAAGATCCAATTTTAAGAAAGTAAAAATAATAATAAATGGTAAAAATATACAAAATCAAGCACCAGAATTACAAACTTTTAAAACAAGAATAGATGAAATAGAAAATTATGACGGTATTTTATTTTGGAATGGCAGATTAATCATTCCGTACTCACTCCAAAAAAGAGTTTTACACATATTGCATACGGAACATCCGGGTATTACACCAATGAAATCCATTATGAGACATTATGTGGTGGGTCGAAAAACTCGGAAACAGCTGTAGTGGATATCAAAAACAATGCAGAAATATACCAAGTGTTGCCGTATACCAGGGGAATCCGCCATTACAACTTTGAAAAAGGAGAGAAGAAAAAAAAATCGTAGGAAAACATGCTGACCAACTACGAACAATGGAAGAAGCAGTTAACCGAATCAATATAAACAAATGACAATATAAAGCTAGGAGATAATAAAACAGTAGAAACAATGGAACCAAGTCAAGAAGGAATTCAAGATATACAAAGAGGGAACGAAAACCAACAAAAAGATTAATAAATGGTACAAATATACAAAATCAAGCACCAGAATTACAAGCTTTTAGAACAAGAATAGATGAAATATAAAATGATAACGGTATTTTATTTTGGAATAGCAGATTAATCATTCCGTACTCACTTCAAAAAAGAGTTTTACATATATTGCATACGGGTGGGAACAATTAGATAAAGATGTAGAAAAACTAGTAAAGTGTTCTTCACTTAAAAAAAACACAGTTTGTTTTTGAACAAAAATTTTAAATTTCTTTAACCTGCCCACCCATTGTTTAAATTTCTTAACCCGCCCACCCACCCATAGTTTCAAATTTTTTTAACCCGCCTGCCTGCTTATTCTTGAAAAGGACGGGCGTGGGTGGGCGGGCCGTAATCCCGCCCAATGCAGACCTCTAATTCAGATGAATTTAATACTAACATTCAAAACATTTTTACAAATATTCCAAGTTAAATATTTTTTATTGTTTATAAAATAGAAGGCAGAAAAATTCCTATCAACTATGTGTCATAGTGCTCTAGAAAATCTAGTTTTGATAGCTCACCCAAATATATTTAAATTTAGTGATGCTATAAAACATTAAATATTTTAATGTAATTGGAAAAATATATAAATTTATAAATGCTAAGGACACAATTTAACATATTACAAATTTATACCATAAACATCGATTTTAGATAAAATCTCTGCAATTATTAGTTGAAAAACCAGTAAAGATAATGTATATCTTTCAAGTTAATTATTTTCTTGTATTATAATGAAATATTTTATCCATATTAGTCATTTATTTTGTTTTTATGTTACTTTTTATTATATTTATAGAAAATATGTTATTATTTTGTAAATAGTATAAATATGTAATAAATATATTTTCTACTGTAGTTCTAAATGTCAAAATTAGTTTTTACAAAGCTGTAATATATCTATGGCATAAAAAAACAAAAAATAGAACCTAAATGTTGTTATAAGTAAATTACTGCAAAATACTGATAGATTATATTCAAAATGATAGTAACAATAAAAAACATGCAACAAGATTTGGTATATCATATTTTCCATATTTTTCTTTGTTAAATTAGTCTAAACCTGATTTTTGTTGAATTTAAAAAAAAAATATATTTAGTGGCTTATAGACACAATTAAAAAAAATTTGGAGCAAATAAATATATAATTATTAATTAAATTTTGAAATAATAATACATTTATTACATAAGGAAAACAATCAATATTAATACAATCCATATTAATAATAGCAATTTACAAGAATAAATAATTTAATGCAAATAAAAATGATATAATTAAACCTTTTCTTTATATAAAATTCTATATTAAGTTAGATTCATTAAAATGATATAATTACATAGACTGTTTCTTGCGAAAGAATAATGACATAATTTTTCTTCCATCTTGCTGCCAAATAATAATGATATAATTTTTCTTTTATATTTTTCTGCCAAAGAATAATGATATAATTTTTCATACATAAATTCTATATTAAATTAGTTTCATTAAAATTAAATGTTGTAATTATAATAACATATGTGTAGTTGCATAAGAATAAATTTCCAGAATAATAGTTGCATAAGAATTAATTTCCAGAATAATAGAACTTGAAATCGTCAAAAATATCTCTAACAATTTATTAAAGAGCTGATTAATGATTTTTTTTAGAACCCCAGTACCAATTTTATTTACATTTCTTAAATAGTTTTACTAAAAATTGCAAAATCTTAATTTTTAGCCAAATATAGATATCAACAGTGGATTATTGCATTAAGTTTCTAAAATGGATAAAAGAATGTTTAACAAATGTCAATCATAATTATGAGAATTTAGAAATGTAAGTCAAATCCTTATCGAAATATTTCAAATGATAATCCTTTCTCTATGCTTCTTATCATTTTAAAAATTAATGATGGATGATATCTTTTCATTGTGCCGTGAAGGTAATATTTTAGAAGTCAAATCCTGGTTAGAAAATCCTGAAAATGATATTTTACAAGGGTATGTTAAAACTAAAATAGTTTGTTGAAATGTTTTAAATATTGTTATCTTTAATGAAAATACATTCTTCTAATTTTTACATTTGTTTATATTCACTACAATAATGTGACTGTAACCTTCTTATAAGGCACATTTTGTAAAAATTGATTTGAGCCCTTCTGTACTGCAAGGCTTGTTGAGGTGCCTGCTTCCCCTTTGATTTTAGACCAATAATTTCATAAGTAACATATGATAATTTAATAGCAATAAATTTTTTATTAGAAATCTATATTAAATAATAATAATTTAGGATGGCATTCTACTCAGATTTTTACTATTCAGAAGATTAATATTTTTTGATTTTATGTTGTATCAAATAAATGGTTTATAAATAACTGAATCAAAGAATAATATAATTGATATGTATATATTTGAAATTATTATTTGTCTCATCTTAATATATAATTTTGTTATATTTATGAACATTATTTGATTATTAATTCATACATCATTTTAGATGTCAAATTGATTCCCTGGGTATTTTATTTATCACCACCTTATTCAAATTTTATATTTTCTTACAAACATCTTTCATTATCTTTTAACTTTATAACTTCAATAAATTTATACTCTTTCCTATGCTCTAGAAAACCACATCATCTTCATGCATATATATGTTGTTATTAGTTATATTTTTTTCAAAATTAGTTATATTTTAAAAGTGACTAGTTTAGTTATATACCAAGTTTTTCAATATTTTTTAAAATTATACATAATAATTTACAGATTTTAATCAAAGGAATTACAATTTAAATAATTAATTGCTTTGAAAAAATATACCTCATAATAATTTTTATTTGCAATTTCACAAAATTATATTTATCTGTTGCAAAAACATATTTATGACAATATAATATTTATTTTTCATAAAAATTTGGCTTAATAAATATTTATCCATCTAAAAGGCCTTCCCATATTTCTCCAAAAATAATCTTCCCCTAGACTAAAATATATACAATCCTGCCAATTAAGGATATAAAAAATTAGGGTTCAGTTTTTAAAGCTAACCCAATATTTTAGCCAAAAAATATTGCCTGGAGATTTTACTCATAGGTGAAAGAAAATCAAAATCTTGTTGCTTGCATATTTTTTTTTGGCCTAAATATTGGGTTAGTCGTTTTTAAAAATAAAGCCATTTAACAATACTATAAATATTAAGGATATATATAATGAATTTAAATTTTTGTCACAAACAAAAAAATGATAAGATGTTTAAGATAAAATATTAGGTTTTGTTGCTTTTTAATTATTTTCTTTATTCATTTTTAATAATTTATTAAATAAATATTTTTAAATAATTAAACCTAATATGAAAATATTTACACAACTGACTTTAGCTTGAAAATAGCAAATTAAAATTAAATTATGATATATATGAGATGTTTTTCTAAGATTATTTCCAATACCTGTTTAAAAAATTTCAAAACTTTAAGGAAACATAATGATAAAGTTTTGAAAAGTTTTTTAATTAATTTTATGTTATACAGTTTAAAAAAAATGAATTAATTGAAATAAAAATAAAGGTTGTACTATTTTTGATTTTACAAAATATAAATCTTAATTATGTTAGAAAAATACAAAACAGGATAAAATTAAACTATGCATGATGGTTGGTGGACCTATTCAAAAATCAATACAAATCAAATATTGCATTATTTATATTTGTTCAAAAAATAAAATTTACTCTTTGTATTTAATTTGAGTTATTAGAATAATTTGTATTTTAAAAATATTATAAGATAATCCATGGTATAACATATTGACAGAATTTTTTATATTTCACATTTTATTTTAAACAAAAGCCAAGTTCTGACTAAAAATAGCCTTTCACTATCAGGATATTTACCTTGTTAATCACATCTCAGGTTTATAGGTTTTCAATTGAAATGACAAATGATTAAATTTTATTAAAAAACATTAATCATAATTCTGATAATTCAAATATTTGATCAAATTATTTTATATCAAATAAGCAAATTATTAAAAAAATTTGTCGAATATATGAGTTATTCATTTTATTCGAATCGAATAATTCTTCCATTATTCAAAAAATGAATGATTTACCATTTTTTACTATTACATTCGTTTTTGAATAGCCTAACGGTGGACAAGCATTAATTATAATTATTATTTTTAATACCGATGAAATGTTTTCTTTTAAATTTTGATAATTATGAATCCTATTTCAAAAATATGGATTAGTGTTGTTAAACGGCTCGATTTTTAAAAACGGCTAACCAAATATGTAGCCAGAAATATTACTCAAGCCTAGAGATATTGCTCATAGATGGTAGAAAGGTTTGGGTATCTTTTAACAAAATCTCGTACCGTAATTTTTTTGGTTTAAATATTTGATTAATCATTTTTTAAAAATAACATTTTTTTTACCCGCCTGTTTTAAATATTTTTAACCCTCCAATTACAGACCTCTAGTTTATTGTTTAAAAATTATAAAATTTTATATTTACGTTCTCCCAATTTGTACATGAAATTATTTTATTTTACCTATACATTCTATGACTGGGGTTAGACAATTTATTAAATGTTCAAATTGTACAAGTAGATAAATTTATTTTTATTTAAACCATAAATTTTTCTTAAAATACTGCTTACAATATATCCACCCTCCAATAAAATTTCCAATATTTATGTAAAAGAATGATTAAATTTAATTAAAATAATCTTTTATTTTCGAAGGATAATATCAAAATCGAAAATATAAGATTCAAAATAATCTCTGCATTTAAGATGTATGGAAATTTATATACATCTGTTTTTAATACTTTATCTATTTTTTTGATTTTTCCCAACTAATTGAAACAATGGCTAATATTTTGTATAAATAAGCAATATTTTTTTTGATCAGACAAACCTAATCACGAGCGCATTAGGGGAAGAATACTTCCACAAACAAGTTAATCACAAATATATTATTTTCTTAAAATCTTTTCTCAATGTTTATAAGGTAATATATTCAATTTTTTCAGGGCTCGAACCCTGTTCAATAGGCTTTTTTTTATACTACAACCTATTTTTAATTTTCTCTTATTGAATTGATCGAATATCATATTTTATTCCTTGTTTGATACGATATAATATATTATTCTTTTTATTAGCATAATAAAAATAATGTTTTATTAATTAAGAAAAATATTAATTGACCCATCTGAAATCGCATTCAAAATTTTGGAACTGAACTAAACTCGACGAAAAAATAGGGTTTGAATTCCTACTTCTTTTAGAAACTTCATCTACTTTTTGAAATAGCAAATAATTGCTTCTCTCTTTCTCTCTCTCTATATATATATGAATACATTTTTAATAAATTAAATTCTCAATATCGGCAACACCAACAAATTTATTTAAAAGACCAAATTTTTTTTTGAGCGATTTCTCTTAGAATGACCCCATATAATGCGATAAAGAATATACTATTTTTCTTGATATTTACCATCAATATTTGGACATCCTAACGAAACTTCGAATAACTGCTTTATTTCTTTTTGTTTTAAACTCTAGAGTATTCAGGCAATTAAAATAACCTATATTTACAAATCTAAATATTTTGAAACGTAACTATTTTCTTTAATCTCTTTACCTTCCCTCCTTAACTAACCCCATATTTTATATATAATATTTAGGCTGTGCTGTTCAACATATTCGATCCGATATTGGTTTAATACCGATCCGATATTTGCCGATATTGGTTCAATCCGAACCGATATTTATACTGATTTTTCACCTCCCCCATTTGAACCAAATGTAATTAAGAAATCAATATTTTTTATGCAAAAAATCGAATTTTAATCTAACTTTTTTATTTCTACAAAGAAAACTATAATTAATTATATTTTAATAGATAAAAAAATATATTATTTAAGATCAGAATTTTTCCAAATATTAGTTTTATTAAGAATGGCTGATATTGCTGGCTGACTTTCAGGGTCCTTTTTTAAAAAAATTTGATTAGTTTTTTCTAATATTTATCGTTCTTTTTGTATTAGCTCTTCGAATGCTTTTGATGGATTCGCTTTAAATGTTTACGGATATTGGAATATATCAATTTTTCATTATTCCTCCCCGTGAAATTAGAACTCCGCAAATAACGCATTTTGTAAAATTATCTTTGTCTTTTGTAAAATATTTCCATAATTCAGATACCATATTTAAAAAAATTATTTTATATAAAGTATAAATAAGTTGTCTAATTTATTTCACCTCTTTACTTCTAAACAAAAATTGGCGTTATTATTTAAAAAGATTTAAAATAAATAAAACTATGGGTGTTCCTTTCTATTTTTATAAAAAAACTTTTAAATACTATAAATCTATTTAAAAAAATAAATAAAATTTAGAAGGTGTTGTTTAAAAAAAAATTATTTAGAAAATATAATAATGTAAAATAAATATACATAACATAAAATAACAAAAAAAAGAAAGGTAAAAAGATCGGATCCGGTTTTAAAGGTATAGGCCCGATCCGATATTTTTGGAAACAGCAAAATATCGGTGCCGATCCTATCCAATATTTAATATCGGCACAGCCCTAATATTTAGCTAATTTCGCCAACATTTTAATCTAATTTCCTATTTTAATATATAATTTAATCTTAAAAGAGATGAACACGGGTTTAGTCCTTTACACTGGGCGTGCAAAGAAGGTAGAATAAACATAGTGGATCTTTTACTCCTCAGAGGAGCATTAATTAATTCAACCAATATGGGCGATGATACTCCTTTACATTTGGCTTGCAGTCATGGGCATCTAGATATTGTTAAAAAGGTTGTTACACAATAATATATTGATAAATATAAATATCACGCTTGATTTTTTAAGCAAGATCTGGATATTTTGACAATTATTGAAGGAAAATTAAAACCCTGTCATTGGTTTAGCGTTGGCCGGATAGGACCTTGATTTAAAATTTTTTACCTGACCCGGTAAATCTCGACATAGTTAGCCGTTTTTAAATCGGCTCAAATGAAGCGATTTGGCATTACTACTGCCTATCCTATTCGACCAAACTCAAGTCTGTTGGGCCTGGATGCCATTCTCTCGGACTCAGTCGGATTGATCTTGATTTAATATTTTAATTTAGGTCGCACTCGAACCTCGGCAAAATTAATAATTTTGTTTGTTCAATATTTTTTATAAATATTATTTTATTTTCAAGAATAACGCCTAATATTTTTATAAATATTCTTTTCAAGAATGACGCCAAAATGTTTTTTATTTTCCCTAATAGCGCTTATAATTTTTCCGCTTTCTGAAATATCCTACTTTTTCAACAGTTCCTTATTTTATTTTTTATTAGTATCGGACTAAAATAAAATTTTATATCGGATTTGAATATTTGAGAAAGGTACTCGGATTGTATAGGTCGCACAAAATTAAAAAATTTTTTTTTTTCAATCAAGCCGTACCTGAACAAATAATCTCGATGCAGGGCTCACACATCGGATCGGTGACTCATCGGATTTTAATTCGATCGTTTAAATATTTTTTATATTAAAATAAAATTACTCTAAAAATAATATGATAACCGATTTTTTCATTAATTATATTTTATGATGTTAAGTTATTACATCATAGGGCAGATTTTAATGCAATAAATGAACATGGTAATACACCAATGCATTACGCTTGTTTTTGGAATTTTCTGGAGATAGCTTCGGAACTTTTGAACCGAGGGGCTCATTTAAATATAACCAATAGACACGGGGAGATTCCATTGGATAAATGCAAGTCACAAACAAAGACATCTCTTATAAGTTAATTATAATTATACTTATTTTTTTAAAGAAATCTTTTGAATTTACCCCTTCTCCCATATCTATGGGTCATCCTATGTAAAATCAAACACCTTTCGGTCCACCCCTTTCAATTTCTATAAATATTTGTAGGCACCTTATATATGTTCCAGTAATATCTGAAACGAAATTTTAGCTCATTAACAATTATATTATATGAGATAATGATGAAAAGTACAAAAACCGACTTTTTTAACATTTTACTAATGTTATTAGTTTTAAATTAAAAAATAAATTAGTTCGAATATTTAATCTAATTTTATTAATTAAGTCAATAATTGATAATTAAGTGGGAAACATCAAAATTAAATCTTTTTAAAATATTTCTTGTGTCTAGTAGAAAATTTGAAATTGATATTTCAAAATGATTATGAGCTTCGATTTTTCAAAAAGGAGAAATCGTAACTGTCAATAGTTTTCGAGTTATTTGAGATATTCTGGTTTCACTTTAAATGGTTTTTAATTGACTTTTTACAGGTGTTCAGTCTTATAAATTGTTTCATGTTAATTATTAGCTCCATTATATCTTTTGTTATTTTATACATCCACAACCTTTTATAATTGTATTTTCCATTGAAAGAATATATCCCGTTATCAAATTGTGTGCCAAATTTTGATTGGCATTGCTTATTATATGGTTAGAATTTGAATTCATCTTTTCTTTCGGGATACGTGTACGGGGTAATGTTTTGATATTTTTCATTCCAGACTATCTTCGGGTAAGAGATGCTGTTGATTCTTAGACTGTTGTTAATAAAGGATTGTAGCTTTCTATACACTGTTGATAGTAAAATGGGAATGATAGTGAAGTTAAATATTCTCAGTCTAGTTAATGCCAGATCTCCTTAGTTTTACATAATTTAAAGTATTTGTAGAAGCGTGCCTTGCGCTCTTTATTCTTATTTAGTGACGCCTAAGTATTTGATTTCGAGACTTTATTGTTTGTTATTAGATAGTCAGATTTTGAATGGTGGGTGCATGGGAGGACGGAGGAATTGCTGTCTCTAAGTTAATATTTAGGCCGACCTTATGGCTAAAAGTTTGAGTTTGTTGAGGGAATGGAGTGTTTCATCTAGATTTTTCTGATTACGATAGCATCCGCATAGGATATTATCCTATGTTCAAAATAACATCTGGGAATTAAAGAAGCGAAATTGTTTTAGAACTAAAATGATATAAATTATGAGATTTCTGGGATCTCAAATCAAAAGGTGAAAAGCGGGGAATACCTTAAGCGGGTATAACTATATATCGATTAATGGGTTTTGTTTTTTTAATACAAATTTCTCAATTTTATTTCTTTATTTTATTTAGAAAAGGCCGAAATTTTGCGAATTGACTTATCTAAAAAAATTCCTTATAAAGATCAAAGTTGGCTTGGGACCAAAAAAAGAAGCAGTACTATAAATATTTAATATTCGTTATTTAAATAATCTAGCCTATAATATGAATTTTAATGGTAAAATCTTTCAATTTTTGATTATTTAGTGTACATACCTTTTATATCTAACTTTTTAAGGTATCTGAGATTATTAAATACAAATTAATTATTATTTTTTAAATCAAAAGGAGACGCAACATTATCACGTAACTCTGGGATCGATATGAATCAACTAAATTTCGAAAAAGCATTAAACTTTAATCACCTTGACCAAGTCAGTTTGACAAAAAAATTGTTTTGATTTAATGTTATGCCTCATTATCGGAGTTGTTAAAGTATCTAGATATAAAAATGTTGTATTGGTATCTTACCATAATACCTTTTTTTAAAATAGCTGTATCTAGATACATTTTTAACCATATCTATCTATATATAAATACATTTTGATACAATTTTATTATATTAATTTTTTAAAATATAGTCCTATTTTTTTTATTAAATATCTCTCCAAGTTTATTTCTTTCCAATTCAAAACAGGTTTTATTTTACACAATGGATGACTAATATAGTAAATATAAATATTAATTTTTAAATGATTAATATTGGTGATACTGATGATAAAGAAACAATCAATAAGTATAAGCACGTTTTTAAAACTTGATTGGACTGGTTCAAACAGCGATTTATTATGAACTTTTAAACTTTACATTTTATGATATTAATTGCAGGAAGAAAAATTTAAATATGTGATATTATATTTTTTCAACTCCCCAAGAGGATATGGATAAGGACATAAATTTTAATATCTATTAAATTTTGACATTATTCTAAAAATGAGTATGATGATTTTACTATATTTAAAGATTATTTTAATTAGTGATCTGCATCGGGCCTAATTTCCCAAGTTTGGTCCAAAATTTTTTTTAAAATTTGTCCGGCCCGATTCTGAACAAAATTTTTTTATTTGTTCCGAAAAGCCCGCCGGAATGAAAATTATCTGACCACCTGGCCCTAATTTATTTAAATATAGAAACATTTAATTTTTTTTTTATTGTAAAGAAATATTCTCTATTTAAAAAAATATTAGCGCTTTGTTTCTTGCAAGAATTTTAAAGTATATCTATATATTTGACAAAATTTAATGATTTGATTTATATTTTTAAATTTAAACCTGGCTCGGCTCGAAATTTTTTAAAAAATATTAGGCCCAGCCCTAACCGAAATAATTTTTTAACTAAATCTAATATTAAAGTGTTATTCCTAAAGTATAACATTATTCTGCCTTCCAGCGCATTAGTCGAAAGACGTTTTAGTGTGACTAATATGTTCAAACTAAGGTGCCTCTGCGATAAAAATTATGAAATTTTTTTATTAATAAAAGCTTACAATACTAGTTTTTAATTATATATTTTATATATAAATAAGATATTAAACTGAATAAAAGATGTCTGGTTCAATTTTTTGTGTTTTCTATTGATTTTTAATTTTGGCATTATGTACTTGATTATAAGTATAAAATGTATCTTTACTATATCTTGGAAAAATCTCTATCTAGATATATTTTTAAGTTACGTATCATTATCTAGATAAATTAAGTGTCTTAACAACTCTGTTTATTATGAATAATATATTTTTTGCAAGATTATGTTTCAATTTTATTATGAATCGCCACTTAAAAGCATTTTTTTTAAAATACAATGTGCTCAACTCATTTCATAAGTTATGGAAGGGTCGATGGCAAAATATATCTATAGTGGCTCGTGTCATCAAATTTAGAACAACTGTAACCACTAACAATACCAAAATACTTAGAAATTTTCAGGAAGAATTCCCAAAACTAAGGGTGTTTTCTCATCCCAATATATTGCCAGTGCTAGGCGGTTCCTTCACCACAGATCAAAGCAACAAAAATCATCAGGATAATGATCACATTTACGAGGATTCAAATAACGGGAATTTGGAAGAATTATTAAAAACCTCTCATCCATTGTTGGTTATAATAAGTCAGTACTTGTCTATAGGCTCTTTATTCAATGCTCTACATTCCGGGTCAGGAGTAAACAAAAACAATGACTTTATTAACGACTGTAATAACGAAGGCGATGAAGTGGATGACGGTTACTATGCAAGTAGCGGTGGCTTTTTATGTAAAGATTAACTATATTTTTGTGTTATTCTTATGTTTTTACCTAAGATTTTTGATTACTTTTTTAAAACATTTTATTTAAATGCGAATAAGATTAATGCTATAGGGATTATGCTATTTAAATTTAATGAACAAACCCTTCATACTACAATATAGACCTCACATAACGTTTACCGCATTTTGATTTCAGATAATTTGCTATGGTTTATTTTATGAATATTTAAATTGGTATCATCGGTTTCTTATTATTTTTTTATACTGACTTTAAATAATAAATACAATCAAGTTCAAGGGATCCAGTTTCCAAATCAATTTATTATTTATTTTGTCAAAATAAAATAAAAATAATATTTATAATTTTATATTAAACGTTTATAGGTTTAAACAAGAAAATGTCTCTGAATATTGCAATAGATGTATGTAGTGGTATGTCCTATTTGCATTCTTTAAATCCGCTTATACCTAGATTTTATATCTCATCTAAAAATATTTTGGTAAAAAGAAAAAAATAGTTTTTTTTTAAAATACATTACTTCTCAGTTTTCTTCACACTTATATATATATTTTTTTAACCTATTTTTTAGTTGGATGAAAACATGAGAGCTCAAATAAATATCTCAGATTCCAAATTTTCATTTCAAAACAAAAACATATTATATAATGTCAATTGGATGTCTCCTGAAAGTTATATTTATTTTAGTTTGTTGGATATTATTTCTTTTAAAATTTTTTGAATGATTTACAAGTGAATCTTATATACGCACGGTTACAATATGCCAGAGAGATGAACTTTATATCAAATATCTTGAAAATCATTTTTAGTGATTTTGGTTGGTAACGATCGAGCTAAGGGAATTGGGATACTTTAAAAGTTTTACTGTATTTTGTAAAATTATGATGAATTTATTATAATTTTGGTAAAATTATTTTTGCTATAAGGTTTAAAGAAAAAGCGTGAACATCTCAATATTCAAGCAAGCGATATGTGGAGTTTCGCTGTCGTCTTATGGGAATTGAATACCAAACAAATACCTTTTCATTCCATGTCCAACATCTTGATTGGAATCAGAGTTTAAAATCAATTTGTAATATATTTTTTAAACGACAAATCTTGTGTATTAATATTGGGACCACTAAAATATTAATGAAAAATAATTTAAACATTTATGTATTGTAATAATTATGTTTTTATAATAAAGATGGCATTACACAATGAACGGTTACCTTTAAGTGACATTCAATGCAGCCATATGATAAAATTAGTTAATATCGCTATGAACGAAAATCCTGCTAAAAGACCCACTTTTGATATGGTTACACCAATTTTATTGAAGATGATCGATAAAATATAATTGATTAATATAATCACACCAAACAGATCTATTGTTTTATTTTTTTTTATTTGTAATAATTTATATAAAAATAGATTCATCATTTGCCATTTTTGTAATCAACTAAACTTTTTACAGATCATTTTTATAAATAATTTTAAACAAAATCAACAATTACCAATTTTTTATTAATTTATATTTTTAGATTTATTTATATATATTTTTTTATCCCTTTTTTAAAATATAAAACTATTTTATTACATTCTTATTCAACGTAATAATGTTAGTTATGAATATGATATAATTTTTTTGTTTAAGACACTAATAAATTTAGGTTTAACCATTGCTTTAAAATACATAACTCACGATACCGGCATAAGGTATAGACCTTACGGACATTTGTCAGGGAGAGCAAGGAGTTAACTTATGGCGGCAAAATTAGAACAAAATATTTGTTATAGTTGCTTGTGTCGAAAGAAGCTTCAAGACTTATTATAACCCTTAAGAAAATTTGTTAAATAATGCAAGAGCATTTGTGGGGGTTAATACGGACCCACATTTTAAACCGCTATATCTCATTCTTAATCTATTTTTCATTATATTTATAAAATATATTTTTAAAAGACATCCATAATATAACTATTTTAAAATTTGATTCATTAACAACCATTTTATAAGATATATAGAAGTTAGTGAAAAAAATTATTTAACATAAAATAAATCGCAAAATTTATTTTTATCATTAATAACAATTTAAAACGATTTATAGTCCAAATTTCCCATTTATATTGAAATTATATCACAAAGCTGAGAAGGTTCATGAGAGTATAAATTATGTCAGTCTTTTCAAATTTCGTATTCAATAACAAAAAACAATATTTAACATCATCTTCAAATATTAAATGATAATCTGCATTTAAAAATATAATATAATTTATAAGAAAGACAATTAGAATTAATATAATGGCTTATGGGTTAAAGTATAGGCCAAAAAAAGGAAGGTATTCAATATTATTAGTATGATTTATATTAAAAACATAAATATTTTGTTTAATATCAATGTAAATTGATATATTTTATTAAAGTTTCTTTTATCTGATAGATCAAAAGATTTAATTTTATTTTTTTAAAAAATTACAGATAGTTTAAGCATATTTTAAATTATTGAGGGTAAAGACAAAAATTAAAAATGATATCCGATTTTCAATTAAAAAATGGGGTCCATCTCCATATAATAACAATAAAATTCAAAAAGTTTTATTTTTGATGAAAGTATCGTACTTTTAATTTTCGCGTCATTGTAACTGGTTCATTTATTTTTCAAATAATTTTTTACCCCCCTCCCCCCCCCCTCCCTCCCCTCTCCCTTGAAAGATACATAGGGACAAATAGTTAAATACAATATAAATCCCTAATTACTTTGTCTTAATCCCAGAAAAGTTATTATATTATATTCTTATTTTAATAAAAAAGAAAATATTTAGATCTAATGTAGTTTTTTAGAACCTACCCGAGATTCTAAAATTAGAACCTACTTGAGATTTAAATTTTTTTAAGTCATAAGCTTAGACCAATATTTATATAGTAGCATGAGAACTATAGTTACTTGGCCAAAGACCAAGCCGGCCATCTTATACCAAATATTTTTAAGACAGGGAGGAAATTTTTCTATTTATGACTTTTTTTCAAAAATTATTATGGGGGGGGGGGGGGGTTGTTGCACAAAATTATATAACGGGCCATGCGACTTGCACAAATTTATTTTCAGTAGGGCCAGGCCGAAGATTTTAGAAATATTTTTAGGTCGGGGTATGCTGATCTCTTATTTATATCATATGCTTAAAAATATGATATATCATCTTTCTTAGGGAACATTATTTTTTTCAACCAACTATGTTATCAAAATAGGAGGCCTGCAATGTTTTAACCTACATGTCCACATTGATTAATAAATTTAACTTTGCAAATGTTTTTTTTTAAATTTACATGTTCTCCCATAAGCGTATCCATGGGGGGGGCCCTTACCCCCATTGGAAATGTGCCTGCTCTAATAAATATCATTTATGTTAATAAAGGCTCCCAATAATACTCCATCCACATCCCCTTCCCTCCCAAAAATATATTTAAAAAGTAAAGGTTTATAACTTTTTAAAATGACAGCTATAATTCAAAATTTTTAGAGAAATGGAATATTTATAAAAAAAAAAGAAGTGAAAACCCAAAAATATTTTTAAAAAAATCTAATATGGCCAAAGGCCTACAATAAGTTAAAGACCTCCTATATTTATGGGGAAACACCCAACTAATAGTGAACCCCCATCCCCCTTGACAAAATCCCGTATTATGTGGCCTCCCAATGTTCATTTATATTTAAACTTACGAAAATATTCATTCTTAATATAATAAAAATGCCTACTCTGGCCATTTCATAAACATTTAAAATTCTCCCAGCCATTTGCTCATTGTTATAAAATATCTTTAACCCGCTCATCCAATGTTTAAATTTTGAAAAGCGATTTCAAAAACATCAAATATCCTCGTTTAACTTAATAAGTTATGAAATTATTATAATGCCTGTCAAGACATGACATATGTTCATCTTTATATTTCAATTTGAACAATAAAATCATATTCAATTAAAATTACAAACTATAAAAATACTCGGTTAATTTTAAAAAATGATTAGTATAACATTTGATTCTTTATTTTGCAAATATTATACATTTATATTCAAATTATTAGGTAGAAACATTTAAGTCTCGTTGGTCTAGGGGTATGATTTTCGCTTAGGGTGCGAGAGGTCCCGGGTTCAAATCCCGGACGAGACCTATTTTTTAAGAAAATATTATATCATAAAATATATATTATATAGGTAATACGTAATTTTTTCCTTTGGTCATATAACTAAGAATATTAACGGAGAATCAATAAATAATTTGTGAAATCGATTTCTGGGTCCATTTCTGCTCTTCCTTAGTTAAATTTTGTTATCTCTTGACAATTATTTCTAAATGAAAGTATACAAGAAATTATTGGAAAACCTTTGTTTATTTGCTTTGGACATTTAATTGAGGAAACCCACACTTAAAAATTAAATTTTAAATAACTGAGCTCTGAAACTAGCGAGTAATGGACGGGATTTCACTCGCCCTACTATTAAGTGACGGGGGTAGACGTTAAACAATGGGCGAGGCAATGAAAAATGTTTTTAAAACAATGGCAGGTGGTCTATTTATTAAAAATATCATCTTAAAACATTGTATATTTTATAAGTTTGAATAAAAATATATTATAAAATAAGGATAAAAAAGTGGAATTAACAAACAAATTAATTTTTAAAAGTCAAACAGACGGGATATTTTTGAACAAATTGGGGAGTAACGTGAATACTTGTATATAAAATACTAAATACAAATATTTTTTGTATTGTTTTGATTGTGGACAGACAACGTCCAACATCAAGTACCAATATTAAAATAGCCGGGTAAAAGGGGTTAGAAGTGGGGGGGGGTGTAGATAGTAGCTGGCTCAAGGGACTTGATTATGGCTCTAGATTCGGGGAGGCTATCGACACTATTGAAAGGAATTAACTATGGAGTCGATTTATGGAATTTCTAATAGAGGAATGGACTCTTATTTTGTCATTTCTATTATCATTCATGTTCAGGGTTGCCAAGTCTACTACACCAGGGCTGTAGCCACAAGGGAGGGCATCCCAAATAATTTTGGCCACTTAGCCTGGCCTCAAGTTCTTTTGGTCCCCAGAAATGGCCGCCTCCAAAAATATTTCTCACTCCCAAATTCTTAAATATATTAGTTATGAAATTTTTATCCGCTCGTTAATCAAATGAAATAACAACAAACGGTACCCGCATTTTATATTATTCTAGCTCCCTTTGTGGGTCAAGTTCCACTACAATAACTGATGAAGAATTTTTCTTCAGGACTTGTTATTGCAATGTTATTATACACCTGCCAAAAAGATAAAGAATAAATTAAATTATATAAATAAATTATAAAAAATGCCCAATACATTTCACCCAAAATTCATAAAGTTATGTCTATTTTGGCGGGAAAAATTTACATGTTACAAATAGAGCTAACACTACTTGTTAATGGTGAACCTCACTCTATGCTTTAAATAAAGCAGAAATGGCAGCTACTTAAAAAAAATTCTAGAATATAATGAAAATAAAAATATTGAAAAACACAACTTTTTGCTATTCTATCTTCGATCTGGTTATAAAAAAAAATATGAAAGAGATTTTTTACTATATATAAATTTTATTTTTATAACAAAATAATAAGGTGAAAAAGAAATCAAATTTAACACTTTTGAAAAAAAAAAATTAAAATTTTTTGGCGAGGGTACTCAGTACTAAAGGTCTGCAATAAAAGCCCACCCCACTCGTTGTTTTGAAATTTATTTAACCCTTTCTCCCGCTCACTTATAATTTAAAAAAAAAACCTGCCCATCCGCCCATTTATCTATAAATTTTGTCCCACCCGCCCGACTAATGTTTAAAAAATATTTTAATTGGTTTGGCTCTTTATTTATTAATTTTATTTAATTAAATATAGATAATATGCAATATTATGAAATAGAACTATTATTTTAAATAAATTTAAGTCTGTTCTGCTCATTTAGCCTGAAAAATATCAAAAATTCTCCTGCCCAAGCCTGCCCATTATGTAAAAATTTTTTATAACCCGCCCGCCACGCGTCCAATGTTGAAAATATTTTAATAAACCCGACCACACCCATTCAAAGTATGGGCGGGCGTGAGCTGGCTGGCGAAAAGCCTGCTCAATGCGGACTCTACTCTGTACCTCCTCAAAATTTAGAAAGGAGGCTAAAAAAAGTGAAATTAGCATGGGGCTTAGTCCCATAGTCCCCCGCTAGCAATACACCCTTGTCCATATAATTGTGCTTATTTCTTCGTTTAAGAATGAATAAACAAAATTTTAATTAATGTAGCTTGTCCAGGTTCATATAATTTATAAAATAAGATTATATATAAAATAGATATAAATAAACCAAGATTTAATATGTCATCACCTCTAGTTTAACCCAGAAGGCATGGAAAAAGTGAGCCGAAGAATGTGGGTATGGGGGTGTGTCCATATAAAAATATTTAATAAAAATTTCTACCACAATTCAAAATTTATATTACTAAAGAATATATTTAGCGATTACTATAAATTAATGAAACTAAAGGCACTTCATTTGAACACAATTTAAAAAAAAAAATTACAAACGATAATATAATCTATAATTTTGAAAAGTCATAAACATATTCTCTTCTTATTATAAAATAAAATATAAATATTATATTTATATTAATGAGATACAATCAAACATCACATTTAAATATATAAAATTTTTATAATTAATTCCAAAACACAATTTTTACATATTATGATAATTTTCAATGCTCATTTATAAATTATATATAAAAAAATAGATCATGAATTATTTTTTTGAAAACAAAATTATGAATAAAAAAATCAGAGACCTGCAGACCCGACCCTAAGCCCAGCCCGGGAACACGGATCAGGTGGTATTCTAACTTTTTTAAATATACCCGAGCGCGCCTAAAATATTTTTAAAAATTTACCCGGGACGGCCCGAATATTTTAAAACCAAATATTTTAAATCGCTATTATTATCTATAAAAATTAAAAATAAATATGATATATTTTAAAACAATCCGGGCCGGGCCGAATTTTTTTAAAACCCGGACCGGACGGTACAAATGGCTGCAGGTCTTTGATTAAAATGAGCATGCTTCATCATGTATAATTAATTGTACTCCAGTTTCGTCATTGACGAAATTTCCTTTACGCGATCATTAATAAAACTCAGCATTACGTGATATGAGTTTAAGTAATTTAACTTACTGGATTAAAATCCTACATGTTTTTTACACAAAAACAAATCTATTAACTGGCAGCCTTGAATATAACCTTGAATATAATTTAATTGAAATAATACGCTGAGATGGTCGAAAACATAATAGTGTCCAATAAAAAAAATACAAGATTTTTCAAATAATCGTCAATAATATTTAATTCATAATATATATATATATATATATTATTTATATTATATAATACAAATATTATTATAATAAATACAGTTTACCTGATAATTTAAATTTAACAAAGTCTGATCCAAAAATGAAATATTTGAATAAAGTAGTATTATCAATTTTAATTTTGGTGATTTTAGACGAAGGAATAGTTTCCACAAATGGTAAAATAATATATATTATATGATATATTTTTTCGGAAATTGTTTCATGTGTAAACCATTTTTAAGTTTTTCTTGCTCTCTTTTTTAGTTAAATAAAGATAAACTTTCGATATAATTTTTTCCCCCTTCATATTATAAGTTTATGTATTCTAGTAAATTATTAAAACGGGGAAATAACTAATTTCGACGTTCCCAGGTGCGGACCTAGAAATGTTTCAAGGAAGGGTAAAAAAATATTTTAACGTAAAAAAAATATATATACATCGTTGGGTATGGAATCCATGGAGATGGAATCTCTCAACTTTGAATTATTTATAAAGGGCTACTTTTTAATTTTAAAGATTTCATAGGAATTGCATTTCTGCATGTATAGTACCCAAGCTGTAAATTTCAAACAATTTTGCCATAAATTTTATAACTACTTCTAATTTATATTGATTTTTATATAGAATTTTCATATAAATTAATAAATACTTAAATGTCTATTGCGAAAATTGTCTTAAGTTCATATGGTAAAATACTCTACATTTGCTGGGATACACTTCTGGTGAAATCTGATTTTAAAAATTTTGAAATCGCCCTCGGTAAATGATTTAAAATTGAGAGATACCGAATCCCCAAAGATTCCATGTCCCAATACGACAATATATACATAAAAAAAAATTTCAATTTCAATTTTATTTAATAATGGTAAAAAAAAAATCAAATTATCTGCAATAAATTATCAAATCATATCTATTTAGTTAAAATACTTTTAGAAAAAATATATCCAAAAATATAAAGAAAAAAAGATATATATATGAAAATATTTTAATTGAGTTCCCAAAAGGAAACCGCAATTAAATTCAAAAATTTAATTTTTGTCAAAAGTATAAAAATTTCTTAGGATCATTTGTGAAGACTCTTAAACTTAATAATTCAAAAAATTACATAAAGTTGATACTGGTGGTGGGCGTCGGCCCAAACCCCGATGCGATTGAGCATGAATACTAATGGGAGAATCACGGAAAAACTTTTAAAATTGTTTTTTTGGTACCCCCTTAATTTGTCATAGTCATTTCGACGCGTGCCAATTTGGCTCCAGTAAATAAATTCACTGCGTGTTTATTCGGCACCTAGCAATTTGATTTGGTGCACACATCGTAGTAACAATTCGACACATCGATAATCTCTTGCATGTTATTCTGGCGCGTGTCAATTCGGCGGAAAATGATAAATAACATTTACTGGATAGAACAATATACCGCTTCTGTTAATTCAATGTCATGTTGATTAAACGCTGATGTAAGCCATGGTTCTAGCGCTCAGAAAAATTTATCTCCACGACAGGGGTGTAATTCTAAATTTTTTTATATATTTACTAAAATGTCTTTAGTATCTAAAAGAATATTATACCAAGCCTGGAACAATTCTTAATAAATTTT